GAAGATTGACTTAAATTTTGAATACGACATCATATGATCTCATTTCGAGTTGCAATGGGTTCCCTATGCAAAAATACACAATTCTCGTTCACGACTCAAGTCCAAATTATGAATAGAAAAAAACATACAACTCTTCAGTGTTTTCAGGCTTACTAAATCAACCGAGTCACGAAGATTGGCTTAAATTTTGAATAAGACATCGTATGATCTCATTTCGAGTTGCAATGGGTTCCCTATGCAAAAATACACAATTCTCGTTCACGACTCAAGTCCAAATTATGAATAGAAAAAAACATACAACTCTTCAGTGTTTTCAGGCTTACTAAATCAACCGAGTCACGAAGATTGGCTTAAATTTTGAATACAACATCGTATGATCTCATTTCGAGTTGCAATGGGTTCCCTATGCAAAAATACACAATTCTCGTTCACGACTCAAGTCCAAATTATGAATAGAAAAAAACATACAACTCTTCAGTGTTTTCGGGCTTACTAAATCAACCGAGTCACGAAGATTGGCTTAAATTTTGAATGCGACATCATATGATCTCATTTCGAGTTGCAATGGGTTCCCTATGCAAAAATACACAATTCTCGTTCACGACTCAAGTCCAAATTATGAATAGAAAAAAACATACAACTCTTCAGTGTTTTCAGGCTTACTAAATCAACCGAGTCACGAAGATTGGCTTAAATTTTGAATAAGACATCGTATGATCTCATTTCGAGTTGCAATGGGTTCCCTATGCAAAAATACACAATTCTCGTTCACGACTCAAGTCCAAATTATGAATAGAAAAAAATATACAACTCTTCAGTGTTTTCAGGCTTACTAAATAAACCGAGTCACGAAGATTGGCTTAAATTTTGAATGCGACATCATATGATCTAATGGGTTCCCTATGCAAAAAAACACAATTCTCGTTCACGACTCAAGTCCAAATTATGAATAGAAAAAAACATACAACTCTTCAGTGTTTTCAGGCTTACTAAATAAATCGAGTCACAAAGATTGGCTTAAATTTTGAATACGACAACATATGATCTCATTTCGAGTTGCAATGGGTTCCCTATGCAAAAATACACAATTCTCGTTCACGACTCAAGTCCAAATTATGAATAGAAAAAAACATACAACTCTTCAGTGTTTTCAGGCTTACTAAATCAACCGAGTCACGAAGATTGGCTTAAATTTTGAATACGACATCGTATGATCTCATTTCGAGTTGCAATGGGTTCCCTATTCAAAAATACACAATTCTCGTTCACGACTCAAGTCCAAATTATGAATAGAAAAAAACATACAACTCTTCAGTGTTTTCAGGCTTACTAAATCAACCGAGTCACGAAGATTGGCTTAAATTTTGAATACAACATCGTATGATCTCATTTCGAGTTGCAATGGGTTCCCTATGCAAAAATACACAATTCTCGTTCACGACTCAAGTCCAAATTATGAATAGAAAAAAACATACAACTCTTCAGTGTTTTCGGGCTTACTAAATCAACCGAGTCACGAAGATTGGCTTAAATTTTGAATGCGACATCATATGATCTCATTTCGAGTTGCAATGGGTTCCCTATGCAAAAATACACAATTCTCGTTCACGACTCAAGTCCAAATTATGAATAGAAAAAAACATACAACTCTTTAGTGTTTTCAGGCTTACTAAATAAACGGAGTTACGAAGATTGACTTAAATTTTGAATACGACATCATATGATCTCATTTCGAGTTGCAATGGGTTCCCTATGCAAAAATACACAATTCTCGTTCACGACTCAAGTCCAAATTATGAATAGAAAAAAACATACAACTCTTCAGTGTTTTCAGGCTTACTAAATCAACCGAGTCACGAAGATTGGCTTAAATTTTGAATAAGACATCGTATGATCTCATTTCGAGTTGCAATGGGTTCCCTATGCAAAAATACACAATTCTCGTTCACGACTCAAGTCCAAATTATGAATAGAAAAAAACATACAACTCTTCAGTGTTTTCAGGCTTACTAAATCAACCGAGTCACGAAGATTGGCTTAAATTTTGAATACAACATCGTATGATCTCATTTCGAGTTGCAATGGGTTCCCTATGCAAAAATACACAATTCTCGTTCACGACTCAAGTCCAAATTATGAATAGAAAAAAACATACAACTCTTCAGTGTTTTCGGGCTTACTAAATCAACCGAGTCACGAAGATTGGCTTAAATTTTGAATGCGACATCATATGATCTCATTTCGAGTTGCAATGGGTTCCCTATGCAAAAATACACAATTCTCGTTCACGACTCAAGTCCAAATTATGAATAGAAAAAAACATACAACTCTTCAGTGTTTTCAGGCTTACTAAATAAACGGAGTTACGAAGATTGACTTAAATTTTGAATACGACATCATATGATCTCATTTCGAGTTGCAATGGGTTCCCTATGCAAAAATACACAATTCTCGTTCACGACTCAAGTCCAAATTATGAATAGAAAAAAACATACAACTCTTCAGTGTTTTCAGGCTTACTAAATCAACCGAGTCACGAAGATTGGCTTAAATTTTGAATAAGACATCGTATGATCTCATTTCGAGTTGCAATGGGTTCCCTATGCAAAAATACACAATTCTCGTTCACGACTCAAGTCCAAATTATGAATAGAAAAAAACATACAACTCTTCAGTGTTTTCAGGCTTACTAAATCAACCGAGTCACGAAGATTGGCTTAAATTTTGAATAAGACATCGTATGATCTCATTTCGAGTTGCAATGGGTTCCCTATGCAAAAATACACAATTCTCGTTCACGACTAAAGTCCAAATTATGAATAGAAAAAAACATACAACTCTTCAGTGTTTTCAGGCTTACTAAATCAACCGAGTCACGAAGATTGGCTTAAATTTTGAATAAGACATCGTATGATCTCATTTCGAGTTGCAATGGGTTCCCTATGCAAAAATACACAATTCTCGTTCACGACTCAAGTCCAAATTATGAATAGAAAAAAACATACAACTCTTCAGTGTTTTCAAGCTTACTAAATCAACCGAGTCACGAAGATTGGCTTAAATTTTGAATACGACATCGTAGGATCTCATTTCGAGTTGCAATGGGTTCCCTATACAAAAATACACAATTCTCGTTCACGACTCAAGTCCAAATTATGAATAGAAAAAAACATACAACTCTCCAGTGTTTTCATGCTTACTAAATAAATCGAGTCACGAAGATTGGCTTAAATTTTGAATACGACAACATATGATCTCATTTCGAGTTGCAATGGGTTCCCTATGCAAAAATACACAATTCTCGTTCACGACTCAAGTCCAAATTATGAATAGAAAAAAACATACAACTCTTCAGTGTTTTCAGGCTTACTAAATCAACCGAGTCACGAAGATTGGCTTAAATTTTGAATACAACATCGTATGATCTCATTTCGAGTTGCAATGGGTTCCCTATGCAAAAATACACAATTCTCGTTCACGACTCAAGTCCAAATTATGAATAGAAAAAAACATACAACTCTTCAGTGTTTTCGGGCTTACTAAATCAACCGAGTCACGAAGATTGGCTTAAATTTTGAATGCGACATCATATGATCTCATTTCGAGTTGCAATGGGTTCCCTATGCAAAAATACACAATTCTCGTTCACGACTCAAGTCCAAATTATGAATAGAAAAAAACATACAACTCTTCAGTGTTTTCAGGCTTACTAAATAAACGGAGTTACGAAGATTGACTTAAATTTTGAATACGACATCATATGATCTCATTTCGAGTTGCAATGGGTTCCCTATGCAAAAATACACAATTCTCGTTCACGACTCAAGTCCAAATTATGAATAGAAAAAAACATACAACTCTTCAGTGTTTTCAGGCTTACTAAATCAACCGAGTCACGAAGATTGGCTTAAATTTTGAATAAGACATCGTATGATCTCATTTCGAGTTGCAATGGGTTCCCTATGCAAAAATACACAATTCTCGTTCACGACTCAAGTCCAAATTATGAATAGAAAAAAACATACAACTCTTCAGTGTTTTCAGGCTTACTAAATCAACCGAGTCACGAAGATTGGCTTAAATTTTGAATAAGACATCGTATGATCTCATTTCGAGTTGCAATGGGTTCCCTATGCAAAAATACACAATTCTCGTTCACGACTCAAGTCCAAATTATGAATAGAAAAAAACATACAACTCTTCAGTGTTTTCAGGCTTACTAAATCAACCGAGTCACGAAGATTGGCTTAAATTTTGAATAAGACATCGTATGATCTCATTTCGAGTTGCAATGGGTTCCCTATGCAAAAATACACAATTCTCGTTCACGACTCAAGTCCAAATTATGAATAGAAAAAAACATACAACTCTTCAGTGTTTTCAAGCTTACTAAATCAACCGAGTCACGAAGATTGGCTTAAATTTTGAATACGACATCGTAGGATCTCATTTCGAGTTGCAATGGGTTCCCTATACAAAAATACACAATTCTCGTTCACGACTCAAGTCCAAATTATGAATAGAAAAAAACATACAACTCTCCAGTGTTTTCATGCTTACTAAATAAATCGAGTCACGAAGATTGGCTTAAATTTTGAATACGACAACATATGATCTCATTTCGAGTTGCAATGGGTTCCCTATGCAAAAATACACAATTCTCGTTCACGACTCAAGTCCAAATTATGAATAGAAAAAAACATACAACTCTTCAGTGTTTTCAGGCTTACTAAATCAACCGAGTCACGAAGATTGGCTTAAATTTTGAATACAACATCGTATGATCTCATTTCGAGTTGCAATGGGTTCCCTATGCAAAAATACACAATTCTCGTTCACGACTCAAGTCCAAATTATGAATAGAAAAAAACATACAACTCTTCAGTGTTTTCGGGCTTACTAAATCAACCGAGTCACGAAGATTGGCTTAAATTTTGAATGCGACATCATATGATCTCATTTCGAGTTGCAATGGGTTCCCTATGCAAAAATACACAATTCTCGTTCACGACTCAAGTCCAAATTATGAATAGAAAAAAACATACAACTCTTCAGTGTTTTCAGGCTTACTAAATAAACCGAGTTACGAAGATTGACTTAAATTTTGAATACGACATCATATGATCTCATTTCGAGTTGCAATGGGTATTGGGTTGAGTTGCATTGGGTTGTTGAGAAGTTGAGAGCTGTTCTCTCCCTCGTGTCTTGAGGTTCTTCTCTGCACCAAATTCTACCCTTCCTTCCATTAATCCCTGTGTTTTGAACTTCCAGATTGTTTGCTTTACATCATAAATTGTTTTGGGTGTAAATCATCCAATTTCAAGCTCTTTTTGGGGAATTTTGGACTGTTTTACACCGACAGCTTGCTCGAAGTTACTGTTCACGCGAAGAGGTCAACGCCTCTTTCTCTTGCTCCTCTCGATCAAACTTCGTTTGGGAGGTGTTTTTAGCTGCTCTTGGGCGTAAGGTTCAAGCAAATACACTCGGTTCAAGCTTCAAGAAAAGTTGACTTCGGTCAACTTCTTCTTCAACGGCTCTTTCCTCTTCTGGAACTCACTCTGAAACAAGAAACCAAGGAGATGGTGACTTAGGAGGGGCTGTCTCTGCTCCCCCTTCCTATACATCTATGGCTACCAAGAAAAAGAAGGAGTCACCTGCACCCACCAAAGTATCCTCTCGACTTAGGGAAAAGCAAAATAAAGAAATCGATGCAGCCAGCCAGTCTACTGCGCGTGAGAAGGTAGGGGCCTCACAATTTGAGAAGGATGAAGCTCGTGACCATGTACAGGCTGCCACTCCCTCTCTGCCTTTGGTGTTGGAGGCCATCCTTGAAAATTCCGAAGAAGAGTACACCCAAGCATCGGATACAAGCATAGAAAGTGTAGACATGGACAATGACACTATGATGAAGGCTGACTCTGCCCCCCAAAATGATGACTTGGACCTAACTCTTGAAGGTAACCCTATTGTACCAATTTTAGAAGAAAACTCTATGGAGCATGTGGTAATTGAAGAGGAGTACGTACTTGATCCTAGTGTGAAGAAAATCTTAGACATGGAGGCAGCTGAAGCTAAGCAACTATCAAAACAAATTGAGGTAGCAAAGGTGGATGAAACAAATGGTGTAATTGTGCCTGTGGTTAACTTGGCTGCTGCATCACCTGCCAGCCAGGTCGTGGTATCTAACCAGCCCGTTGCATCCAACCAGGCTACGGCAGAACCCAGCCAGGCCGCAGCACTAATCCCTACCAGTAAGGGTGCGGTTCTGGGAGCTAACAAGTGGGGGAATGGCTCTAAACCCTCATTTGTTTCACTTTTCAAGGATAATAGAGAACCCGATAAGGGTATGAAACTAAGGTATATTGAGCCCAAAGGAGACATCATTGACCTCACTTCTCGAGTGCTACCGTCCATGGTTGATATTTGGGGACATTGTCTTGTTGGTTACTTTGATGGTGGCTATCCCGGATATAAAAATCTCCAAACAATTGTACAAAAATGGGCTGTCCCGTGCCGGTTTAGAAGTCATGACAAAGGATGGGTTATCTTTAAGTTCCAAAATGACAAGGATAGGGCCAAAGTGCTTATGGAAGGTCCATACACTTTATTTGGGAAAAGATTTCCATTGAAATTGTTATCGGATGATTTTTCTATGAGTGATGAGGAATTTCTTAAAGTTCCTATTTGGGTGCAATTCCCCCATCTACCTATGCGGATTTGGAATGAAGATATTATTAGTGAGGTGGCATCTAAGGTGGGCTTACCCTTGACTACGGATAGAGTTACTCTTGAAAAGGCTAGATCTAACTTTGCAAGAGTTCTAATTGAAATTGATGCATCTAAACCACCTCCACTTGAGCTCAAGATCAAGTTACCAAATGGCAAACTACACACTCAATTTGTGAGGTATGAAACATTCCCAAATTATTGTTTCCATTGTAAAAAGTTTGGCCACCATGCCTTTACTTGCTCCATTATTGCCTCAATTGAGAAGAAAGTTAAAGAAGATGCTATCAAAAAGAGTTTGGGTATTAATATTGAAGAAGGGGCTGCCGAGGGTGCTATTTCCGAAGCCAAAACAGTGGCGGAGAGTAGTAGTGTGGCTGCCAAAACAGTGAGTAAAGAACAAGCTATGGAGGAGGAAAATGATCTTTTTATTACTAAAAGAGATCACCCTTTTTTCAAGAAATTCCGGTTCTTTAAATGGGGAAAGAAAAAGCCTATAAGAGGTGAAGGTGGCACATCCGATTTCAAGGATGGTGAAGATGTACTTATCCGAAAAGTACAAAAATTTCATGATACATACCAAGATGAGGTGATAGTTCAAATGGAAACCGATGAGGTGCTCATGCCAAGTATCAATGTTACACACAAGAAGCATGTAGACAAGGATGCTACAATTATCAAGATGGACCACCATCTCAAGATAGTGAAGGAAGACCAACCCGGAATGCTCTTCACCAAAGAATGCCTCGAAGATCTTCCCGGAATAACAACAAGAGACAAGGATTATACCTTTGATTCCTCCTTTATGAGGGCTGTTTTTAGACACTATTTATGCCGGTTTTATGAAGAGGGCTGCCCAAGGGGAAAAGCATCGCTTGTAAAACGGCCAAGTATGAAAGATTTCAACAAAGTACGCGTGGTGAATGACATTAGGGATGCATACCGTGATGATGTCATTGTAAAGCTTGAACTTGACAAAGATAATCTACCTTTGATTCACCTACTACATTCCGGTGAAGTAAATGATCAAATGGTGCGGCTTGATAACTACTTGAGAGTCACCCAAGATGAGCTTACCGAGGGACTCACATTCACGACCAAATGCTTGGAGGCTATCCCGGGGGTCTTTGATACGGAATATGGGTATGAATTTAACTCTTGGTTTATTGAATATCCATATACTTTGTTATATCTTACTAGGTATAAAGCAAGAGCAAAGCCGAGCCCTATTGTTGGAAAAAATGAGGTGAGGCCGAGACACCAAGGAAAGAAAGGAGGGAGGAGGAACAACAACAAAAGGTCTTGATGATTGTGTCCGCATGGAATATAAGAGGCCTCAATAAGGTCTCCAAACAAAACTCTATCCTTAAGTTTATTCGCACTAATAATATTCATTTGTTTTGTCTTCTTGAAACCAAAATGACCACTACTAATTTTGTTAATTTTAGTTCAAATAGATTACCATCTTGGCTATCTATAACTAATTTCGACAAAATTGATGGTGGCCGTATTGGCATAATTTGGGACCCCCATTTTCTTCAAGTTAATGTGCTTGAAATTGACAAACAACATATTCATTGTCATGCCACTTGTAAAACTACTCAAATTGAGTTTTTTGTTACTTTTGTGTACGCTCTCTACACGGTGCTTGAAAGACAAACACTTTGGGATCACTTAGCACACTTGGAGCCTAACATTACTAGCCCGTGGCTAGTTATGGGAGACTTTAATTGTGTTGGGAGCCCAAATGAGAGGGTGGGTCCTTCCCCCCCCTCGGCTTATGGTATGCAACACCTTAATGACTTTAAATTGCAAACTAATCTTGTTGATTGTCCATCTACGGGCCAATTCCTTACTTGGAATAGGGGTTCCCTTTGGGCTAAACTAGATCGAGTTCTTATTAATTCTTTTTGGTCTACTTTGGATATTGAGTGCAAAACACATTTTCATGATTTCGAACTTGAATCCGACCATGTAGCTTCCATGGTTTCCATTGGGAAAACTAATGGGGCTGCCTCTCGGCCTTTTAAATTTTTTAATATGTGGCTAAATCATGAAAATTTCAATGCCATCCTCACTACCCATTGGGATAGAGAGGTATACGGTAGCTCCCAATTCATCTTAGCCAAGAAATTGAAGGACCTCAAAAGACCACTTAGAGAGCTAAATAAACTCCACTTTGGCCACATTTCCGAAAGAGTTAAGGACTCCAAGAAAGAGTATAAAAGGCTCCTCGGACTCTCTATACTCTCTCCGTTGGATGGAACTATAAAAGAAGAACTCTCCTTGATCAAGAAAAAACTTCTTAACCTTAAACTAGCCGAAGAAGATTTTTTTAAGCAAAAGGCTAAGGCAAATCATCTTGTTCAAAGTGATAAATGTACTAAATATTTCCATGCTATTGTGAAAAAGAATATGGCTAGAAATTCCATTACGGCTTTAAAACTCCAAAATGGGATTTCTACCACTTCTATTGACCAAGTTGCTACGGAATTAGTGAATTTTTATACTAATTTGTTTGGTGCCTACTACCCCACTTCCGGGTTGGACCCCTCTGTGGTGGCCTCGGGTAGATGTTTACCCGCTAATGCCACTCCTGGCTTGGTTGCTCCTATCACCGATTTGGAAATCAAAGAGGCCTTGTTTGATATTGGTGATAACAAATCACCGGGGCCGGACGGTTACACATCCGCGTTTTTTAAAAAAAATTGGAACACCGTTGGGTTTGAATTTACTAGAGCCGTGAGGGGCTTCTTTGGCTCTGGCAGGTTATTAAAGCAAACTAACCATACGGTTATTGCTTTAATTCCTAAGACCACTCACTCTCCCACACCGGCGGACTTTAGACCAATTGCGTGTACTAATGTGGTCTACAAAGTCATTACCAAAATTATTTCTAAGAGGATGATCCCGTGTCTACCGGACCTCATTGACCACGCCCAAGGGGCGTTTGTTGATGGAAGACTTATGATTGATAATGTCTTCGTTGCACAAGAATTGATCAAGGGATACTCTAGGAAACGTGCATCTCCTAGATGTATGATAAAGGTTGATCTCCGGAAAGCCTATGATACTATATCCTGGGATTTCCTGGCTGCCATATTAACCCATTTGGGCTTCCCGGGCAGATTTATACATTGGATTATGGAGTGTGTCACCACACCTTCCTATTCCATATCTATTAATGGGGTGCTCCACGGCCACTTTGAGGGTAAGAGAGGGCTTCGGCAAGGGGATCCTATGTCCCCCCTCTTATTTGTCCTTTGCTTGGAATATTTTTCCAGATTGTTGAACATTAGGACCAAAAATCCTATGTTTAACCATCACCCCCTGTGTGGATCCCTTAACATATCACATGTGGCATATGCTGATGATTTGATGCTTTTTTCTAGAGGGGATACCACATCTATACAGATTCTCACACAGGCCTTGGAAGATTTTGGTAACATATCTGGCCTTAGGGTCAACTATGATAAATCAAATATCTTCCTTGGTGGTAATGCATATTATGAGCTTGACACTATACTAGAACTGGTGGATTTCAAAATTGGTGCATTCCCGGTCAAATACCTAGGGGTCCCCCTGGCACCCTTAAGGTTATCTGTGGCCCAGTATGCACCACTTTTGGAGTCCATAACTACTTTCATTAATGCTTGGAGTACTAAGTCTTTATCTTATGCAGGCAGAGTTGAGCTGATAAAGTCCGTTATACAGGGAGTGCACTCTTTTTGGTTACACATGTTTCCCATCCCTAATGTTATTCTTGATAGGATTACATCCATTTGTCGCATTTTTCTTTGGGGAAGCAAATTCGCTAGGGTTGCCTGGGCTGATATTTGCCTCCCTAAAGAAGAGGGTGGACTTGGCATACATGACACAAAAGTTTGGAATAAGGCTTTACTTTCAAAAACTTTTTGGGATATACATACAAAAAAGGACACACTTTGGGTCAAGTGGGTCCATGGGGTTTATCTCAAGGGTAGGTGTGTGTGGGAGTTTGTCCCACACGAAAGAGATTCACAATTGTTTAAAAAGATTGCACAAATCCGAGATGAAATACTCTCCAAATTCCAGGACATCCCGAGTGCTATACTTGGCTTAAATGCTTTTCAGATGAATGGTAAGCTTGTATCCTCCAAGGTTTATGATTTGCTTAGGCCTAGGGCTGCCACCCGTGTGTGGATGCCGTTTATTTGGAAAGATTACATCCCTCCCAAGTTTTCCTTTGTTACTTGGTTGGCATTCCGTAACAGATTAGCCACGTGTGATAATCTTCATAGATTAGATGTGGATAATACTTGTGTATTGTGCAAGGGTGGACCGGAAACGGTTCCACACCTCTACTTTGAATGCCCTTTTTCAGGAAAAGTTTGGGCTATGATGAAAGCATGGATTGGCATTCCACGAATGATGGGGACCCTAGCTAGTGCGGTCAAATGGATCAAGAAGGAAAGGAGTGGAGCTAATGTACGAGCCAAGGCTGCCAGGATTGCTTTCTTGTGCACCATATACTCGCTTTGGAGAGTCAGGAATGCAGCTCGATTTGATGATTTTTTGCCAAAGGAGGAGGAAGTTTTTGCCAGGATACAATATGTTGTCTATAAAATTCTGTATTGCATCTATCCTTATGATTTGGTAGTTCTTTGATAACTTTCCGCCCATCACCTATTTTTGTTTGTGATAGGCCGTGAGGTAGTATAGGGGGGGCTGCCATGGCACCCTTATTTTGGCAGGTGATGGGTTATCCAATCTTTGGATAGCCTACAGTTTTGCTCATATTTATTTTCTTTGCTGTACAGACGAACTATTGACGGTTTTTTCTAATATACTTACATGTTATCGTCGAGTTGCAATGGGTTCCCTATGCAAAAATACACAATTCTCGTTCACGACTCAAGTCCAAATTATGAATAGAAAAAAACATACAACTCTTCAGTGTTTTCAAGCTTACTAAATCAACCGAGTCACGAAGATTGGCTTAAATTTTGAATACGACATCGTAGGATCTCATTTCGAGTTGCAATGGGTTCCCTATACAAAAATACACAATTCTCGTTCACGACTCAAGTCCAAATTATGAATAGAAAAAAACATACAACTCTCCAGTGTTTTCATGCTTACTAAATAAATCGAGTCACGAAGATTGGCTTAAATTTTGAATACGACAACATATGATCTCATTTCGAGTTGCAATGGGTTCCCTATGCAAAAATACACAATTCTCGTTCACGACTCAAGTCCAAATTATGAATAGAAAAAAACATACAACTCTTCAGTGTTTTCAGGCTTACTAAATCAACCGAGTCACGAAGATTGGCTTAAATTTTGAATACAACATCGTATGATCTCATTTCGAGTTGCAATGGGTTCCCTATGCAAAAATACACAATTCTCGTTCACGACTCAAGTCCAAATTATGAATAGAAAAAAACATACAACTCTTCAGTGTTTTCGGGCTTACTATATCAACCGAGTCACGAAGATTGGCTTAAATTTTGAATGCGACAACATATGATCTCATTTCGAGTTGCAATGGGTATGCAGCAACTGTGACAGGTAACTCTGAACCTTGGAGCTCTTTATTTAAGGACAATCGTGATCCTAGGCATGGCATTAAATTGAGATTTATCCCTCCTAAAGGAGAAACACTGGACTTTGGTAATCGGATATTACCTTCTATGGTTGAAATGTGGGGTTACTGTTTAGTTGGACACTTCACAGGTAAGTTCCCTGGACTCAAAGCAGTCCATGATTTGAAAGCTAAATGGGGGGTGAAATGTCTCGTGAGATCCCATGACAAGGGTTGGATAATTTTTAAATTTCAAAATGAGGAGGATAGATTGAAAGTACTACATGACGGACCGTACACGGTTTTTGGGAAACTCCTTATGCTTAAAGAACTCTCGGAGGATTTCTCGTTTGAGGATGAGGAATTTCTAAAAATACCAATTTGGGTTAAGTTTCCTAAACTACCAATGAAGTTATGGAATGATGAGGCTATGAGCGAGGTAGCTTCTATGGTTGGGGTTCCAATAACTACGGACAAGGTCACTCAAGGAAGAATTAATAATGATTTTGCTAGGGTATTAATAGAGGTTGATATTGCTAAGCCACCACCGCTTTCTTTTCCTATTCGACTACCTTCCCAAAAGGTAATCAAACAAAGTGTGGTCTATGAAACTTTCCCTAACTTTTGCTTTCATTGCAAAGAATTTGGGCACCACCCATTTATTTGTAAACGACTAGCAAAACAAAGTGATGGGGATAGTTGTGATATGCCAAAACAGGTGGGGAACATAGATATGGAAAATAGATTGGAGGAAATGAAAGAAAGAGGAGCTGAACTTACTGTCCAGGAGATTGTTGCTGCCCATACGACCGGGTGCTGCCCTAACCCGACCGGGTATAAAGGGCAGAAGTCATCCCAGGGGTCTGCCAGTGCTGCCGCGGTACAACGAGTTGACCAGGGAACTGCTGTGACTAATCTAACTGCCCAGGAACCTTCTAAAGCTGCTGATAAAGAACCGGAGGTCGTAGTGGAAGATATTGATAGGATTGTGATGGAAGAAAAAGACTTGAAGTTCAATGATGTGGTCATCAAATGTGAGGTAATAAACGATAAGACACTGAAGTTAGTTGTAAAACCGTTTAGATTTGTGCACGCGAGTGTGATTAGAGTTGATACTTCTCTTCGACTTACGGATGATTTGGATAAGAAAGGACTTACTTTCACCGCCAAATGTCTCGAGGGTATGCCGGGAGTAGCTAAGAAGAAAGGGGAGGTTTGTTTTGACTCAAAGTTTACTACTCCCTTCCGAGCTTTTTTCGGAGTTTAACCTAATATTTTATTGATGTGGGAGTGAGTGGATCTTGATTTTGTGGTATCCTGTGTACTCGGATATGCACTTTATTTGTAACATTGACTTGTTATTTTCTTGTGACTTATGAAATGGGGGCTGTCCCATATTTTTGATGCATTATATCTAGGTTAGTTTATTCTAGCTTAGATAGTCATTCTGATTTGGATTGATGCATTGTAAAATGCTATTTTTTTCTTCGATTTCTAATATACTTACATATTATCGTCGAGTTGCAATGGGTTCCCTATGCAAAAATACACAATTCTCGTTCACGACTCAAGTCCAAATTATGAATAGAAAAAAACATACAACTCTTCAGTGTTTTCAGGCTTACTAAATAAACCGAGTTACGAAGATTGACTTAAATTTTGAATACGACATCATATGATCTCATTTCGAGTTGCAATGGGTTCCCTATGCAAAAATACACAATTCTCGTTCACGACTCAAGTCCAAATGATGAATAGAAAAAAACATACAACTCTTCAGTGTTTTCAGGCTTACTAAATCAACCGAGTCAAGAAGATTGGCTTAAATTTTGAATACGACATCGTATGATCTCATTTCGAGTTGCAATGGGTTCCCTATGCAAAAATACACAATTCTCGTTCACGACTCAAGTCCAAATTATGAATAGAAAAAAACATACAACTCTTCAGTGTTTTCAAGCTTACTAAATCAACCGAGTCACGAAGATTGGCTTAAATTTTGAATACGACATCGTAGGATCTCATTTCGAGTTGCAATGGGTTCCCTATACAAAAATACACAATTCTCGTTCACGACTCAAGTCCAAATTATGAATAGAAAAAAACATACAACTCTCCAGTGTTTTCATGCTTACTAAATAAATCGAGTCACGAAGATTGGCTTAAATTTTGAATACGACAACATATGATCTCATTTCGAGTTGCAATGGGTTCCCTATGCAAAAATACACAATTCTCGTTCACGACTCAAGTCCAAATTATGAATAGAAAAAAACATACAACTCTTCAGTGTTTTCAGGCTTACTAAATCAACCGAGTCACGAAGATTGGCTTAAATTTTGAATACAACATCGTATGATCTCATTTCGAGTTGCAATGGGTTCCCTATGCAAAAATACACAATTCTCGTTCACGACTCAAGTCCAAATTATGAATAGAAAAAAACATACAACTCTTCAGTGTTTTCGGGCTTACTAAATCAACCGAGTCACGAAGATTGGCTTAAATTTTGAATGCGACATCATATGATCTCATTTCGAGTTGCAATGGGTTCCCTATGCAAAAATACACAATTCTCGTTCACGACTCAAGTCCAAATTATGAATAGAAAAAAACATACAACTCTTCAGTGTTTTCAGGCTTACTAAATAAACCGAGTTACGAAGATTGACTTAAATTTTGAATACGACATCATATGATCTCATTTCGAGTTGCAATGGGTTCCCTATGCAAAAATACACAATTCTCGTTCACGACTCAAGTCCAAATTATGAATAGAAAAAAACATACAACTCTTCAGTGTTTTCAAGCTTACTAAATCAACCGAGTCACGAAGATTGGCTTAAATTTTGAATACGACATCGTAGGATCTCATTTCGAGTTGCAATGGGTTCCCTATACAAAAATACACAATTCTCGTTCACGACTCAAGTCCAAATTATGAATAGAAAAAAACATACAACTCTCCAGTGTTTTCATGCTTACTAAATCAACCGAGTCACGAAGATTGGCTTAAATTTTGAATACAACATCGTATGATCTCATTTCGAGTTGCAATGGGTTCCCTATGCAAAAATACACAATTCTCGTTCACGACTCAAGTCCAAATTATGAATAGAAAAAAACATACAACTCTTCAGTGTTTTCAGGCTTACTAAATCAACCGAGTCACGAAGATTGGCTTAAATTTTGAATACAACATCGTATGATCTCATTTCGAGTTGCAATGGGTTCCCTATGCAAAAATACACAATTCTCGTTCA